GGGGGGGGTCCCCAATTCCCTCTCTGTGCCCCCCCAGTCACCCCCCGGCCCCCCTGGACCTGCCAGGGAAGGTTTCCCAGTTGGAAGCGATGCTGAAACAGCTCCACAGTGACCTGGAAAAGGTGAGGGAAGGGGGGGAAAGGGGCACCCCAAAAACTGGGGGGGGGGCCGGGATCCCAAAGAGGGGGGGACTGGGGGAAAAAGGACCCCGAAAAAGGGGTGCAGGACCCTAAAAAGGGGGTGCAGGACCCCAAAACGAGGGAGGATTGAGGGCACAGGACCCCAAAAAGTGAGTGGGGATCCTAAAAAGGGGGTACAGGACCCCAAAAAGGGGTACAGGACCCAAAAAAGGGGGTGCAGGACCCCAAAAAGGGAGTGGGGATCCTAAAAAGGGGGTGCAGGACCCCAAAAAGTGAGTGGGGATCCCAAAAAGGGGGTGCAGGACCCCAGAAGGGGGGGGGGGGGCCCTAAAAGGGGGGGGGCAGGACCCCAAAGAGGGAGAATTGAGGGCAAAGGACCCCAAGAAGTGAGTGGGGACCCCAGAAATGGGGTGCAGGACCCCAAAAAGAAGGAGGATTGAGGGCACAGGACCCCAAAAAAGGGGGTGCAGGACCTCAAAAAAGGGGGAAATGAGGGCTCAGGACCCCAAAAAGGGGTCCCAGGACCCCAAAAGGCCCCCAGGTGGGGTGGGGGTGTCCCGTGCCAGGGTGTCCCTTTTCCCCCAGGAGAAGCAGGACAGGGTGGTTCTCTAGGCCCCAAAAAGGGGGAATTGATGTCACAGGACCCCAAAAAAGGGTCCCAGGCCCCCAGGTGGGGGTGTCCCGTACCAGGGTGTCCCTTTTCCCCCCAGGAGAAGCAGAACAAGGTGGTTCTCCAGACCCCAAAAAGGGGGGTACAGGACCCCAAAAACTGAATGGGGACCCCAAAAAAAGGGGGAAATGAGAGAAGAGGACCCCCAAAAAGGGGTCCCAGGACCCCAAAAGGCCCCCAGGTGGGGGTGTCCCGTGCCAGGGTGTCCCTTTTGCCCCCAGGAGAAGCAGGACAAGGTGGTTCTCCAGGCCGAGGTCGCCAACCTGCGCCAGAACAACCGGCGGCTGCAGCAGGAATCCACCTCGGCCGCGCGGCAGCTCCGGCGCTTCGCCAGGATCTTCTCCGGGGCCGGGGCTGCCGAGGAGCCCTGAGGGGCACGGGGGGGTCTGGGGGGGCTCCGGGATCATCCCCCGGGGCAAAGAGACCCCCCGGGACAGCGACGTCTCCTGTGGGATCGTCCCCGTGGGATCGGGAACAGCCGGAGCTTCTCCAGAACTTCTCCAGGATCTTCTCCAGCACTGGGGCTGCTGAGGAGCCCTGAGGGGCACAGGGGGGTTTGGGGGGTCTCCAGGATCATCCCCCGGGGCAAAGAGACCCCCCCAGGCAAGGAGAGCCCCCCCGGGACAGCGATGTCTCCTGTGGGATCGTCCCTGTGGGATTGGGAACAGCCGGAGCTTCTCCAGAACTTCTCCGGAGCTTCTCCAGGGCCAGGACCACCAACGACCCCCGAGAGGGATGGGGGGTGACCAGGGAGGCTCCAGGACCCCTCTGGGGGCACCGAGACCCCCCTGGGGACACCGAGACCCCCCCTGGGACAACAACATCTCCTGTGGGATCGGGAACAGCCGGAGCTTCTCCAAGGAGCCGTGACTGGGACAGAGGATCTGGGGGGGACTCCGGAGGATTTGGGGGGCTCTGGGACCCCCCCTTGGGGACACCGAGACCCCCTTGGGGACAAGGACACCCCCCCGGGATCCACAACAATGCCAGGATCATCCCCATGGGATCGGGAACAGCCGGAGCTTCTCCTGGAGCTGTGACTGGGATGGAGGATCTGGGGGGGGCTCCGGAGGATTTGGGGGGCTCTGGGACCCCCCCTTGGGGATACCGAGACTCCCTTGGGGACAAGGAGACCCCCTTGAGGACACTGAGACCCCCCTGGGGACACTGAGACCCCCTTGGGGACAAGGAGACCCCCCTGAGGACACTGAGACCCCAAGAATCCCGGGATTGTCCCCGTGGGATCGGGAGCAGCCGGATGGGACCGAGGGCGTCCGTTGGATCCATCCCGGGGACTTTTTGGGACTGGGGGGTCTCCAGATGGGACCGAGGAGCTCCCACAGGGACCTGGGGGGGTCCAGATGGGATTGGGGGGACCTGGACCCTCCATGTGGGATCCGGGGTGTTCCTGTGGGGCCGGGACCCTCCCTATGGGACCACAAGCTCTATAGGGGACCAGGACCCTCCATATGGGACTGGGGGGGACCAGGACCCCCCATATGGGATTGGGGGTGTCCCTGTGGGGCCAGGACCCTCCCTGTGGGACCACAAGCTCTATAGGGGACCAGAAGTGTCCATATGGGATCAGGGGGACCAGGACCCTCCATATGGGATCAGGGG